CAGACTTCTCTTGACCAACCTCCACCGTTTCACCAAACTTCCCTAAAGCATCAGCCACTAGCATTGACCTCTAAGGAATGTGGAATTCTTGGCTCAGGCATTCCATCATCTTCAAATCAGTTCTGTGCCCTGAGGCACACGTGTGTAGATTTGCTTTTTGCTCAGTAATTAATCATTAAGAAACAAGACCATCAGTTATTTAAGGAGTTTTGCTCTTTCTTGCTTTGCTTTTCTGTAAGATGCTACAGAGGCATTAGACAAAAATCATCAAGGGGTTTTTGGTGATACAGCAGCAAAACTCTTTGATTCATAATGCCTTTCTCTGACTTGATTTTCTTTTTTTCCCCCGGTGTTCTTCAGCATGGTATCTCTGAAAATGACTATGGTTAGTATTTTGGGTAACTGGAAAAACAACTAACCAAAACCAACATATTCTAAGAAGGCATCTTTCTCAACACTTCCTCCTAGTAACGTTAAAATAATATTCACTTACTGATACCTATGTGTGTCAGGCAGTGCGTAAGCATGATCTGCTCTTTAGCTTGTAAGTAAACCTTCGGAGGGTTTTGTTTTCTCCAGGTTAGAGATGAGAGAAGACTGCGCACTAGGCACTGGAGCCAGGATTCTGCCATGTGTCTCTAGAGCCCACAGCCTTAACCGCTATGCGACTGCCAGCCCCAGAGTCCCCAGTTTATTTCTCTCTCTCTCAGTCTGTGTGGCTCTGTAGATGAAGTAAAGGCTGATGACTCTGGGCTGTCCTCTGAAAAATCCTGCTCCCTCCTTTCCTAATTCCTCACACTTATGACCTGCTTGGGGGATGCTTCCCACAGCATGTTTACGATCCTGGTTTGTGTGCGCAACTCTCTGCCTGATATTTTTATTTCTCTCCAACAGCGGAAGGACTACTGGGAATAATCTGATACACATGAAGAGAAAACGAGGAGTTACTAATAAGATTAAATTAAACTTAAGCACGTTTTAAACAGTGTGTAAAACACAGGACTAAGCACTGTTTGAGATGAGCAGACACAAGGCACGACCTCATGGAATTTACAATCTGCTGGGGAGAGGAAATGAGGGATAAGACTACACACAGATATCCAGGATTTTATGCCAAATATGGGAAGTTCCATGAGAAAGGAAGAAATGAAGCCCTATATAGGGCTGGAAGGCAAAAGCCCTCCCGTTTCCCTGGGGACCCAGGTTTAAGAGAAATGGTGGGGACTAAGACTGGAGAACGGGAAGTTTTACTCAAGGCTTAGTCACTGATGCACTGACTAGGCCTTGGGGTTCACCCTCCCAGGACAGGTTATATAATTTACAGGGCTTAGTTCAAAAATTAAAGGCAGGGCTTGTTGTTCAGAAATGAAACATTTCAAGATAGTGAGAGCAGAGCTTGTAATCAAGTGTGAGGCCCTGCTCAGCACCGGCTGCATGCCCACGGGGCTGGCCCTGCCCAAAGGAACCTCCCTGGGCCTCTGCTTCCTTATGGCTCACCTTTGGGAAGTAGGGAGCAAGTCTCTCTCTCACCACCCTGTAGCCAGCACCTAGCTCAGGGCCTGCTGCCCAGATGAATTCATGAGTGACTGGAGATACGATGAATGGCCACGATTATAACTGACAATTTCTTGGGTTGCTTTCATTGTTAAGACATTGAAAGACTGGCCGGGCACGGGGCTCCTGCCTGTAATTCTAACAGTTGGGGAGGCTGAGGAGGGCAGATCTCTTGAGTCCAGGAGTTCAAGACCAGCCTGGTAAAATGGTGAAACTCATCTCTACCAAAAATACAGAAAATTACCTGGCCACAGTGGCGTGTGCCTGTAGTCCTAGATACTTGGGAGGGTAAGGCAGGAGGATCCCTTGAGCCCTGAGGGTCGAGGCTGCAGTGAGCCAAGACTGCGCCATTGCACTCCAGCCTGGGTGACAGGAGTGACTGAAACCCTGTCTCGAAAACAGAAACAAAACCAAAAACACAATCCATTGAAAGACCATGACTCTGAACATTTCTTGGAGGAGACATCTGAGATGAGTCCCAAAGGACAGTAGGATTTTTCTTTCTGTTTTCCTCACTTTTCTTCCCTCTTGGCTTTGCGCTATTTTTCCATTTCTTTCATAAATCCTAATGGCAATGTTAAGCCTTACAGTGAGACATGCAACTGTCACACAGACTGGAAATAGCAGAGAAGTTCAATATTTGAGGGATGACTCAAAGGCTTAGGCCTCCTTTAAGATCCTTGAGATGGTATAGATGAAATCTTCATTGATAAAGTCTTGTTTTTGGTCTTCAAATTATTTTGTTTTATTTTCATTGGACAAGCTGGTAGATGTTTATGAAGAAAAAATCAGAAGACTATAGATTAGCAAAAATAATTACTTGCAATACCATAAGAATATGGGATTGTAGCATAAAACTAGTTTTCAACTTTTTTTTTCCATTCAATAATATGAGCATCTTTTTTTTATTTTTTATTTTTTATTTTTTATTTTTAAGATGGAGACTCATTCTGTCACCCAGACTGGAGTGCAGTGGCACCATCTTAGCTCACTGCAACCTCTGCCTCCTAGGCTCAAGCGATTCTCTTGCCTTAGCCTCCCAAGTAGCTAGTAGCTAGGACCACAGGCACGCACCACCATGCCTGGCTAATTTTGGATTTTTTACTAGAGATGGAGTTTCACCATGTTTCCCAGGCTGGTCTTGAACTCCTGAGCTCAGGTGATCCACTCTGCCCACCTTGGCCTCCCAAAGTGCTGGGATTATAGGCATAAGCCACTGAGTCCAGCCTATTATAAGCATCTTTATATGTCAATAAACCTCTTCATTTTTGTAGCATTAATATATGATATTCTGTCCTATGGTTTTATGGTCATTAACAAATGCACTCCAATTGGATATTTGGATTGTTTTGATTTTTTTTTGGCTATTCTAAAATGGTGTTGCCCTGAATTTCATGGGTAAGTACATAGTCTCTCTACCCTTTGTTTTCCACCTGTGTGGATAACCTCAGGATAACGATACTACTCCCACCTGCGGTTGTATGGTGGCTGTGAGTTAACGTATGTAAAGCTCTTCGCACAAGAACAGTACAGTGCATAGTAGCCTAGACGTGCTCAATAAATATTAGCTGTTTTATTACTTTATAGCCCAGAGAAAGCTGTCTTAACGCAGGTTGCAGAGTAAATAAATAGGTGAGCCACGGAAATGTTCTTTGCAAACCTGCAGGATGAGGTGCAGGTAGAAGGCGTGGGCTGGGGGCTCCCTAGGTTCCCCAGTGTTTTCTTATTTATAGAATAAGCTTCTAGATGGCTAGGAGTCTTCTATCGTTTTTTAAATACACAGTAGAGGATACCAGGTGGTCACCAAAGACTTGTCACTGTTCCCCGACATCTAAGAATCTTTGCTGATGAGTTTCCGATCAGCCTGTGCAGTCAAGGCCAGCCTTTACCCTGCCACCCACAGCCTGTTCATTGAGAATAATGTGCTCTGGCTGAAGATTTTTGCAAGGGCAGCTGACAAACATCAGTTGTGCTCAGCCCAAGGGGCGACTGTCTTATCTTCAGGGATGTGGGAACACGGGCATGGAGGGAGCAAGTTCCAGATCAGTACTTGCTGGCTCTGCGACCTTGGGCCAGCAGTTTCCTCACTCTGATCCCTGCCTCTGTTTCCTTTTCTGTAACTCTGAGGGGGACTAGAGGAGCTCAGGAGAATGGTATAGCACAGTGGCTACCTCTGAACCCCATCCAACACCGTGCCTTCCCTCTACTTGCAATGACCATGTTGCGTTGTATTCACTCTACTTTTCACATTGCAGAGGATCTTATTTACTTGTTTGCCGCTAAAATGGAAGCTTCCTGAAGGAAGAGGCCTTGCCTGTCTTGTTCTCTGCAGTTAACACCAGGGTCCGGCACTGCCACAGAGCCTCTAAAAATATGTGTGTCACATGAGTGAAACCTCAGAGCCTGGGTTCAAATCCTGATTGCACCACTTGCTGTATGACCTCGGATACGTCACTTAGACTACACCTCAGTTTTCTCGCTTAAAAATAGTAATTATTTTCAGTTTTCCCACTTGAAAAATATGGATTAGTAATCGTTCCTCTCTTACCAGGCTGACAGGATCAAATGAGGAAATATCCAGGAAACATTAAGCACATTGGCTGGTACAGAGCACACTAATGATAACAGCAAACGTTTATGTGGCACGACAGCCAGGCACTGATCTAAACGCATCACACACGTTTTTGTTTGTTTGTTTGTTTGTTTTTTTGAGACGGAGTTTCGCTCTTGTTACCCAGGTTGGAGTGCAATGGCGCGATCTTGGCTCACTGCAACCTCCGCCTCCTGGGTTCAAGCAATTCTCCTGCCTCAGCCTCCTGAGTAGCTGGGATTACAGGCACGTGCCACCATGCCCAGCTAATGTTTTGTATTTTTAGTGGAGACGGGGTTTCACCATGTTGACCAGGATGGTCTCGCTCTCTCGACCTCGTGATCCACCTGCCTCGGCCTCCCAAAGTGCTGGGATTACAGGCTTGAGCCACCGCGCCCCGCCTCACACATGTTAACTATGTTAATCTTCACTAGATTTTACGAAATCGGTACTATTATGCCATTTTACTGATAGGTAAACTGAGGTCCAGGGATTAAGTAACTTATGGCTGTCATTTTACATCTAAGGCTCTTTCCAAGCTCTCCGCGGGCGACCCCTCTTGAAGGACCAGAAGGCGCGCCAGGCCGGCGTCCGGCCCAGTCCGCGGCCTGGCCAGGACGGAAAGGGTTCCTTGGCCCGCGCGCGCGTTACCGGCGGGCTCACAAAGCGGGGAGACGAGGGCCGGGCGCCGGACACTTCCTCGCCTCCCATCCGCGCACACGCCCCTTCCTGTCACGGCTGGGCCCGGCCCCGCCCCCTGGCGCCGCCCGCGGGCCGGGAGCTGCCAGAGTGGACGGTTCGAGAGGCATGCTAATGAGGGGGCGGGCGCCGCAGCCCATTGGCTGTCCGCGGAGTGTCGGTGAAGTCAGCTCCGAGTCCCAGAAAAACAGAGCGGGGCCAGCTGCAGCGTGTAGTGCGAGAGGGGCGGACGCGCGCAGCCCGCCCGCCCGGCGACCAGCAAGGTAAGCCAGCGCCCGCCCGTCCGCGCTCGCCCGCTCGGCGGCGGCAGCGCCGGGGGTGTGCGCTGCCAGGCCCCCGCGGGCGGCGCCTTTGTTCCGCGCTCTGAGGAGGCGCATTTAAAGGGCCAGCTGTTGGAGGGACCTGGGGGACCCCCTCCCCCAGAGCATCCCCCGATGGGCACGGGGAAAGCGGTGGTAGCCCGCGGCCGAACCGTCCGTCCTGCCTGCTCGGCGGATCCCCAGTCTTTCAAGGAAAGTTCCCCAGGGTGCGGAGGATATGAGGGCTTCCAGGGTTGGGTGTTTTTTCTTCTTCTTATTTTGGTGGGTGGAGGGTAGTGCGATCATGGCCTCTGCTAGGAGAGACTGTCCTCCCGTTTCAGGGTGGCTGCAATGTGGGTGGGTGGAAGAGACATCAAAGCCCGGATGGGTTTGTGCTGTAAAGTGAAACTACCGAGGAGGGGCACCTCTGCAGCAGCCAGAGGAAGGCGGAGGGAGCGAGCGGCAGGATGGAGGCATCTCAGGTGTGTTCATTCATCAGCATCCCCGGGAGAGGGCGGCGGGAGGGGCGCGGGGACGCCGCGGCGGGCCGGACCCGCCTGAATGAACCGGGACGAGCGTGCGCCGGGGACGCCGCGCCTGCCCGTGCAGCCCGTGCCCCTTCCTTCCTCTCCCCGAGTGGCTGACAGCATCTTGCTAGGCAGCTCGTCACCGACATGGACAGCAAGCAACTCCTTTCTCCGAATTCCCCGGGCATCCCCCGCTCTCACCTCCCTGCTTTTCGACGTGGCTTCCTAGATACGCGGTAGCGCCATTCAAGATAGAGGGAAAGAGGCTTGAAGTCATTATGTTTCCTTCATGGGGGAATGTGCTGTCGAATTCTGCATCCCCATGCATCCGCTGTCGTGAGATGGCTTTGAAATTCACCAGTGCATGCTTTCTCCAGGCAGACAAGAATTTATTACGCTATTACATTGCTACATAAAAGCAGAAGGGATCCCACTGAGCGTGGCTCGTTTTATCCAGTCCCCGGGTTTTCCCAGCATATTCTGGGCGAGCCTTTGGATTTTTGTTTTAAATACTGAGCGCTGGATGCCCCTGTTGTCACAGAGCCGACCTGCTGAAATTGCTGGAATCGGTTTCACTGTCAATAGGAGGGAGGTTCATCTAGAGACATCATGGAACCTATCTGGCATGTCAGGCCTCTGACTCCATCTCTCCCCTCAACCGCCCCCCGCCCCCCGCCCCCCGCGGGGTTTTCAATTCTGTGTTTTTGATTGGAAAGGTAGCTCGGTGGTGATCAAAGAGAGGAGGGTTGGATTAAAAGTGGGGTGGGCAGCAGAGGGGTCAGCAGCATCAATGATAGAAAACAGATGACGGACATATCTCCAGCCTTCAGACACAGACGAGGTAGATGGCTGTCTTCTGAGTGAGGGGCGTATGTTTGGGGCTGTGAGGGGGAGGGGTGGAGGAAGAGGATGCCTCCAGCAGTTTTCTGTCCTGCCCTCTGGATGCTGCTTTAAATAGTCCCTTGCCAACCAAGCTCTGATGTCTTCTTCTTGGCCTGAGGGGAAAAGAGGGAAGGATTGGTCTGTTGGTACCTTTGCCCTAGGCACTGTTGGAGCAGATGGTTAGGAAAGGGTTAGTTCTCAAGGGGTTTCAGAGAGCACATTTCTCAGCTGGAGGGCCCTGAGACCACTCCTTTGGCGACTTCACTGCAGGGAAATAGCAACTGAAATGAAGTGCTATCTACCCTCTGGGGTAAAGAGATGGGGGGGTATTATCTTGTGGACGATACCCACTCTGTTGACCCTTTCCTTTTCCTACCTGCTTTCATTTGTTGTAGTTGGAGAGTTTCTGTAAACTTTTCAGAAGAGATTAGGCATATTGGGGAGTGGGTAGGAGTTATGGGAAAGGATGAGAAAATGCTTCTTCCTGGCAGAACAAAGCACTGTTCAGCTGTTCCCCTTTCCCCTTCTCTAAAATAGAGTTCAATACAGATAGCAGAGTCTAGGGTTTTCTTTGCAAAGAATGAAAGGGCAGGGCCCAGGAAAGAAAGCTTTTATTGTGCAGCATTGATAATCATCAGATCATCCAAACTTATCTCCGGACCCCTCCCTGGATGTAGAGAGAGATTTGCTGTAGAGGGCACTCCATGGTAGGATTTGACCTGTCTGTAGGAGAAAGGCAGGGATAGTTTCCAAAAGCTTTGGTGGAAGAGAGCTCTGGAGCAGAGGCAGGTCAGCTGGCTTTGGTCTTGGCCACTAATCTTTGGGCTTTGGGCTAGTGGCTTCTACTCTCTGGGCCTGTATCCTTGCTCATGAAGTGGAAGACGTTAGAGCAGAGGGTCTTCCAGGGTTCCTGACAACTCTACTGTTCTTAGAGTCATAGTTTGTGATGGCATTTTTAGGTTCTTGTTTGCTAAACTGATATTACATTCAAAGTATTGCACAATGGCATGAAAGAAGCATTCTAGAACTCAGGCTTCTGTTGGACTCACATCTACCTTTTCCTTGATTGTGTGATTTGTGAGGTTTTACTGTACATAAATAATTCAGAGCTAGAATGGCCCAGAGTGAGAGGCACAGACCCCAGAGTGAGTGGTTGTCTGTGGGTGATGAGGGTGAGATGATAGATTGCTGAGGAAAGGGAGTTTCTGTCATTTGTTCTCTTTCCTGTGGATGTTTAACTTGCTGGGTTATTTATGGTTATACAGGTGAACGTTTACCTATCTAGAAGATGAGAGTTGTAAAAGACCTCTGTGATTGCCATGTTCTGCCCCCCAACTCACTGAGGTATTTGAAGGGGTGGGAGGTTTGGAAGCTAAGGTAGGAGGACTGCCTGGTCACAGGAGGTCGAGGGACCAGAGGCATGCACTACCACACCCGGCTAATTTTTGTACTTTTTGTATAGGGTTTTGCCATGTTGCCCAGGCTGGTCTCAAACTCCGGGACTCAAGCAATCTGCTTGCATCGGCCTTCCAGCAGGCTGGAATTCTAGGCTTGAGCCATTGTGCCTGGCCTATATGTATCTGTTAAGGTCCCTCTTCCTCTGAGAGAATTGATTCTAAGATGGAATAGGGAAACATGAGGAGGAAATAGAAGCACAGGAAGAGAGAGGCTGGAGAAACAGACAAGAGAAAATAGTAGGCTGGGGACAGGTTATGGGGGGAAGGGAAAAACACGGAAACCAAACTTGGAGGAGAAAAGGATGGCGCTTGAAGAGGGGAGGCTCTAGTGTCTCTGAAACAGCTGAGCTCTTCTGCAGCCCTTGGGTGAAGTGAGGAGAGGTTTGGTAGACTAGGGTTGGGATGGGGTCGGGGGGTGTGGACTGAGACTCACTTTGAATCTCCTTGGGATCGCTCCTGTTGACCCTCAGATTGCAGTGTGGTGGAGGCTGCGTAGTTTCAGGGCCAACCGAGGCCTTTAGATCCATGGGAGCATGCAGACCGTGGACATGCGGGAAGTCAGGTGTGCGGGTGGTGATGCTGGCTAATGCTGAGGTGGGACTCAGTTCTGCTCAAGTCCAGGTTTTTTTGTAAATGCAAAGCTCAAAACACTTTCCATGGATTTCTTTTCAGTGCAAGCAGCATTTTCTTCTCTGAATGTTTTATGAGATAGTGTTTCATGTACTCCCTTTTCAGAGGAGACACTTGGAGATGAATGATTTACTGAATTGTGGCTCATTTGGGGGGAGATTCTGGCTTGTGACCTAAGCTAAGCTTCAGAATGTTTCAATGAGCAATTAAAGAGCTGTGAACAGTGGTTGACCAGAGCATTAACCATTCAAAGGCAAGGGTAAAGGGTGATAATAGTTCAAGGTCTGGAGCTACAGCCAACAGCTGGCCATGAACAATGTAATTAACTTTGGCTAACTCTTCAAGCCCTAGGAAGTATCTCCGTGGATCCTTTGGTGGCTCCCCCTTTTTGCGTGTGATTATGCATGTGGGCTTGTGCCTGAATCTTGCTGTCTCTCATTCCTCTTTTCCTACGTCTCCCCTCTCCATCTGTTTCTTTTTCTTACCTCTTTCTCCTTGCCTTTTTCCCTCATTCTTTCTTTATTGTCAATTTCATGTTCTCTGTTCTTCATTTAAAATCAGTTGAGAGCCAGGCACAGTGGCTCACGCCTATAATCCCAGCACTTTGGGAGGCTGAGGCGGGCAGATCACCTGAGGTCAGGAGTTCGAGACCAGCCTGGCCAATGTGGTGAAACCCTATCTCTACTAAAAATACAAAAATTAGCTAGGTATGGTGGTGGGTGCCTGTAACCGCAGCTACTTGGGAGGCTAAGGCAGGGAGAATTGCTTGAACCTGGGAGTTGGAGGTTGCAGTGAGCCGAGATTGCACACTGTACTCCAGCCCAGGTGACAGAGCGAGACTCTGTCTAAATAAATAAATAAATAAATAAAATCAGTTGAGTTCACTCTTTTTTGAATGTGTATGTGTTTTACACACAAAACGAAAAAGGGGCAAATAAACCAAATCCAATTAAATTGCTTTTTACTTCTGTGTGGCCTTCCATTGATTTTTTCCCCCCTTCTTCTTCTGTGGTCAGCAGTAGCTTTTTATAGAAAAAAAAAAGTTCCAGGTCTCTGTCATGTGGTTATTGTTTTTACAACAATAGGAAAAGTTTCCACCCTTGTATTGTGGACCACAAGGGACACCCTCTCCCAAGGGATGTACCCTGTTTCTAAACTTCCTTCCATGGAAAAAGTGTCTTTAATGTATTCTGTAACAGAGGCCTGAACAGAGGGGTTAGGGGTGCCGCTGGTGAAGGTGGGGCTCTGCTCAGTGATTGCAGTGCTGCTTAGAATAGGGGCTGGCAAGCTGTGGCCTAGAAAATATATCTAGGAAGAATTAGCATCAATGTTTTCTCTTTTTTCCTCAGGCTGTGCTAACCTAACTGGCTGTAGCAGGACCCAGACCCGTTTGGAAAAGAATGAAATGCTTGTTAACTGTCTGATTATTGTTGAGTGGGACCCAGGGTATGTATTCTGCCCACCTTAG